TCCACCCCGCACAACATGATCTACTCGACCACCATTATGGTTGCCGCCAAAAAAAAAACAGCGGAGGTAAAAAAAAAAAAAAGGTAACCTGGTTGCTCGAGTTCACGAAGTGAATTGGCTTGTTTTACAACGTCTTTGCCAAGCGACGAAAACCCAATCCCGGTGGCAAACACCGGGGGGGGCGGCTTGTTTTACAACGTCGTTGCCAAGCGACGAAGAGTCCAATGATGGGAGAGAAAAAAAAAATGTACATGGTAGACTTCACCCTGAATCTTCCTTGACACAACGGCTCTTTGGGCCTTTCAAAATATTATGGTTGTCCCTTTCAATCGTCGCAAGGGATCATGTTTCTACAGGATGCCCGACAAACGCAATCCTCCTGAAGCGCACACTTTCTCAGCGGGTTCGGTCGTGGATTTGTGAGCTTGAGCTTCCCTTGTAGGTGGTTACTACGTTCCTTATATGGTTTGCCTGCGCGGCCGTATTTGGGTGGAGAGGATCCTTCCATGGAAAAACTCCGGTTTGCTTGTCCTTCCCCGAATATTACGTCGTGGTATGCACATCGAAGCGTTTTTTTGGACATGACGAGCACGGCTGTCCCGGGTAGCTTGTGGGGATTGGCGAACTCGCAGCCATCTTTCTTAGCGGCCGAAACACCCTGCAAGACGTATTTTCTCGACGTTTTGTACCTAGAAAGCCGTTAGTGTATATGCTAGAGGGAGAGGACGGCTGCAACCTGCTAGCGTGAAAAACGTTCTGCGGCATGTGATGCGAAGGAAGTCTTGCGCTTGGGTCCCTGGATCGGAGCCCTTCGGCCCACGAATCATAGCCGCCTGTATGCATATGTAGGATACCACTTAATTGCGAGCGGCGTCCAGTTATTAATAGTGTAATTTGGAACCGGTTTTCTGTTTTCTGAAGCTCCTGGTAAAAGCTTGCGCCATGGTTGTACCTCGAGGCCCCAAGCTTGGGTGCGCGGGTGGTCGCTCATGAAAAAAGTCGCTTAATTTTCTTATTATTACATACACAATAGTATGACCCAACGAATCTCTAGAAAAGAGCCTATAAGATACGTTAATGAATCCATACCGTCAGCGAAGGCTACCTGCATTGCCACGATTTCCCGAGCAGCACACAGCGATATCTCCCCCGTGGGTAGCAGGGTCAACGAGACAGTTGGTAGACATCTTGTGCATTTTTTTTTTTTCGCTCAAGCAGGCCATCGATAGCACCAAGCGCGTGTTCGATCCGCGAACATAAATTCCCGGGTTGAGCAGCGATACCTCCAGCAACAGCAAGCATGATACTCTTTTTTTTTTTCTCCAAACGGGGGGGGGCGGTATGCGCGTCTCGTAAAGGCGACACCAAGCATGCGAAGTATGTTCATGTTCAGATGAACCTTTTGACACAACGTTCCGCGCCCGTTGCTTGATGGCGTTATTACACAATAGGGAACCGATGTGTCCGACAAGTCTCAGATCAGACCGGTGGCGATCAAGATCCTAAACCCGGTCGGCTTCCGCCTGGCGCCCGCGGTTACCCTCCGCCGCTGCATCGTGGCGAGGCGTGGCCAGCAGGTCGGGGGCAGCAGCAGCAGCAGCGGGGCGGGCGCCGCCGCCTCCGCCTCCGAGGGTAGTAGCAGCGGCCACTCATGCGGAGGGGCGGGGGGAGCTGCTGCCGTTGTTTCCGCAGGGCCGGGATCCCCCGGAAGCGGCAGCGGGGGAGTGGGAGCCAGCAGGCAGCCGTCCAAGCTCGGGCCGGAGCACGTGTGGTGGCTGGTGAGCCCCAATACCAAGCAGGTGCTGGCGGCGTACATGGACCCAAGGTACGGGAGCCTGGTAGAGCTCCCGCTGCCCAAGTGCATCGAGATCTGGGGGCTTAACCCGAGGACGGATGCCCCCCCGTCCCCCCCCCCCCCCGCCGCCGCCGCCGCCGCCGCCGCATCGTCCTCCGCGTGTCGCTCTCCGAACGCCGAGTTTTCTCATCACGACTGCTGGAACGAGAACGGCATGGTGGGGGGAGGGGGTTTCGACATGGACGGAGGCGGAGATTCGCCGGGAGGGGGGTTGTCCGGCGGCGGCGGCGGGCGGGGAGCGTTCGAAGTCCAGGTGGACGGCATGGGGGTGTCGATCCCGTGGCTGCCCCCCAAGTACGTGCAGTGGCTCGCCCAGCGCCGGAAGGTGAAGCGGGAGATCAACAACATGGGCAGGGTCGGGGGCCACAGCAACGTCCTCCAGCTGCTCTCGGTGCTCGAGCTCCTCCAGGACTCCAAGAGCACGCTCTTCCTCATCCTGGAGCTCGTCACGGGGGGCGAGCTGCTGGACCACATCAGGCTGGCGGGGGAAGAGGGAAGCCGGGTGGCCGGCTCGAGGGCGAAGGCCGCGTCAGCGCTGAGGGCGGCGGGCGCGGCGCAGAGATACTTCTCCCAGTTGCTCTCTGGGCTGGCCTATTGCCACCGACGCGGGGTCTGCCACAGGTGTGTGTGTGTGTGTGATCCGGCGTGTTCTGGCAGTCAAGCTGGTTTTGTTCATGAGCGCTTACAGCATGTCTGCCGTTTGCTCCAGTCCGTGGCCACACAGAAAGGTTCCTCCCCGTCTACACCCCCCCTGCGGTACATGTCTCGGGTTTTTAACGCGAGAAGAGGGCAGCGCTCTCGATACCCCTCGGAGTGGTGTACGCCGAGACATTTTTGCTCTGTTCGTTTGAATGCGCCAGAGGAGCAACGTTTCGCGTGCATGCATGCCGCTTTTCTGATGGAATCCGCGGGGAGTGGATACGTTATTTTTTCATTTGTTTCGGTTGGAGCGCTGGAAATGAATAACGTGTGGACCTTCCACCGTGCAAGAGACTTCATTCCGAAGGAAATCGACCAGGCTTGCGACGACGATCGATTGTTATCTCGAATGAAGTGCCGTCTTTCTGCGTACCCCTTGGTTGTGTGCGTCGACTTACCCGTAGCGCGTCATCGCGTTGGGACTGGGGGGCTTCGTACGGTTGCGGCCAGCCATCACTGCCACAACAGCTGCACCTTTCTTGCACGGCTCGCTTGTTGCATCTCCTCCGCCGTATGGCAAGGCTCTCCGCATTTTTGTACACCGCTGTCTGTTGCCGCTTTTGGCGAGCGTCCCAACGCGTCCTGACTTTTGGCATCTGCTTCCTTTGGTGTACGTGTGACGTGATTCCTTTGTCGAGCGCCTCACATGCTCTGACATTGACATCCTGTTTGATTTGGTGTGTGTTGTTGTTTTGTTTTTTGTTTTTCTCCCATCATTGGACTCTGTCGTCTGCCCCTCTGGCCCCTATCCTCCACTTCTACCAGCTAGACGACCCAACCGGGGTCACATTGGAGGGGGGGGTTGGACCCCCTCCTGCAGTTCATGCCTGATATATTTTTATCACGAGAAGGGTACAGCAATCCCTTCCCTCGCGACTTAAGAAGTCGGTCAAGTTTACTAACAACGAGCTTTTCAGCGCGTCGCTTCCAACTGAGACAAGGGTTTAATTAGCTAGAAAAAACTCACTCTTGTCGGGACTCGAACCCATGACCTGGCCCTTAGCAGGCTGCGGGGCTACCCACTAGACCACCGGGGCGACGGTGTGTGTGTGGGCGTGGTTCCTTGCAGATCTCTGTTGCCGCTTTGGCGAGCGTCTCACATGTCCTGGTTTGACATCCGGTTGCCTTCGGTGTGTGTGGCGGGGTTCCGTTCCGATTGTCTGGCAGGGACTTGTCGCCGTCAAATTTGCTGCTGGCGGAGTCGCCGCAGGGAGACGCGCCGCCGGAGCTGAAGGTGGCCGATTTCGGGCTGTCGGCGTGCTGTGGCGGGGCCTTTTCGTCGACTGGAAATGAGAACCAGGGCGCTCGATCAAAAGGTGCGTGTGACGATTCGAAAAATCATGAGTGAGGCAACTTCTCGTGCGTGTTTCAAACACGGTTGTCTGTGTAGCACAGTAGCGTGTCGAATTTGTCGATCGAACGAGGGCACGAGAACAAGTGGTGTTCCCGGTGTGGGATAGAAGCGCTTTTTATTCCCAGTGTGAATTTCAAGGCGAGAGCTGTTGTCATTTCTCAAATCGACTTGTAGTCTCCGATAAAAGGCGAGGTAATTGCTTGTGCTGCCGGCGGTAGTTCATGTATCTAACAGAAAACACTCGTTTCTTTTTTTTGGTGCTCATGTTACCGTTCGGGCTCGACACCAGAACGCCGCGGCCTCCCTCAGCGCGTGAGATCCGTCGTGGGCAGCCCTTACTACATGGCTCCCGAGGTGACCACCGGGAACTCGAAGGTGTGTGCCTCCCATCTTTTCATAGCAGTGTCCACCATCTTGTTGGGGGCTGTCGAACTTCGGTCTGAGAATAATGAAAGAGAATCCTCTGCTACCGCGGCTGATACGTCAAACGTTTACCTCGAAAGTTTGAGTACAGACTGGCGCCAGGAGAAAATAGGACCAACACCGACACACCGTTTTGCGTATTATAGCTTGCGTCGGCTTGTCGTGGTCAAGTTCTGAATCACGTGTATATTTGCACGGTATCGACTCCCCGTTTCTGATGCATATGTAGGTCGTCGCGGGACTGATGTACTCGCAGTCGCTCTCACCTCTCGCTCATCAGCCTCGTCGCACTTGGCCCAGCCATGGGGCTCTTTGTTTTCGCTTCGCGACTCGCGTTCTCTGCCGATTTTCCTCTCGCGTTCCACGTCTGAAACTAAGTGTGTAGCGGCGCAGGCTTGTTTTCGTCCCTGCGTACTGTGTCGGTGTTGTTTTGTTTGCGGTGGCTGGACCGAATGTCCTGGCGGTTGTACGCCTAGCAGCCTAGCAGCACCCGGTTCCGCCCTCCCTCTCCTTGCTGGCCGCCCGTGCCCCCCCCCCCCTTTCTTGTACGGTACGAAAACGATGTCTGTCTCCACTAGAAGGACCGCTGACGACCAGGACGAGATTTTTCCTGTCTGTCGGCCCCCGTGTTCACTCTCCGTCATTGAACATCTCCGTGGATACATCGACGTGTCGCCAAGACCGCGATCGTCATTGTCCTCTCTTTGGTAGTACCATCGTGCTTTACGCTCAGTTTTTTGTTTGATGTGGTTCGTGGATTTCGTCGCTGCTGCGGCGTCGCGTTTTTGTAGGGGTACGACGGTTTCAAGGCGGACGCGTGGAGCTGCGGCGTGGTGTTGTACACCATGCTGACCCAGAGCCTGCCCTTCGATAGAGACCTCTCTCGGTGCCCCAGGTGGGTCCCCTTCAACGATGGCCAGTCATCTGTCAGTGTGTGTTAAGCGTGTGTGTCGCTTGGTTATTTCCATCGACCGCGCTAACCGGTGTACACGTTGTGCCTTGCTCTCTTCGCGGCGGGATTTCGAAGCCAGGCAGGTTTCTAGCTCTCTCTCTCTCTCGCTAGAATTTCGGTGCGTGCCGCTTTCCCATCCGTCGCAGCTGCTTGTGTGTTTCCCAACTCTGGTGGGCTTATGGTACCTGCTTTGTGCCGCGCCTTATCGTGCCGTGCGGCATGTCACTGCGAATGCACCGGCTAGCCGAATTCTTGTATACCCTTGTTACTTTCGTCTTCTTTCGTTCACATCGTGACTCTTTCCGTCCTTGCTTCTGCGGTACCACAGGTACAAACGTTTCAAGATCTGGGCGGAGAAGCACAGCATCGGGTCCGCACAGCACAGAGCATCAGCAGCAACAGCGTTACACCGTTGTTCATCCTCCGCGTCCTCCTCCTCGGCGACGCCACCGTCATCATCGGGATTTGCGTCGGAAGCGGCGTTGCCGCAGCAAGCGTCAGCGTCGCCCATACCGTCGCCCGTACCGCCGTCGCCGGCCCACAAACACAAGCCACCGCACGGGACGTCCGTGCTGAGAACCCCCGCCCCCCCCCCCCCGGTGCCCCCGGCGTGGCTCTTCCCACCTATGATCCCGCCGGCGGCGAGGGACCTCCTCGTGTCGCTGCTCGTCCCTAACCCTTCCCGCCGCATGAGCGTAGAGCAGGCGCTCTCGCACCCGTGGCTGGAAGGCGGCTGGGGGAGCGAGGCAGCCGGTGGCGGGACTCCCGCCGCCGCCGTCGCTACGGCCGCCAGGCGAGAGGGGTCGACTGCACCGACGTCCTCGTTGCCGTTGGCTGCGAAGGAGGGCGGCGGCGGGGCGGCGGCGGCGGGCGGCGAGAGGTCTACGTGGGGGGCCGGGAGTGAGCAGCAGCAGCAGCAACAACAACATCAGCACCGCCGGCATAACCAGCACCATGACGGTAGTGTCGTTAGCGGCGGAAGCGGTGCATTTGCCACCGTTCCGGGCGACCGAAGTCGGAGACCCGTGGCTGGTTGGAAACCCAACGGAGGCGAGAACGATTCTCCCGGCGGCGGCGGCGGCGGCAACCAGGGAACGTCGGCAGTCAACGCTAAGGCGTCGCTGCTGGCGAGGGAGAGAGGGGGCGGTGCGACAGCGAACGCTGGTGCGAAAAAGAAGAACGCCGAGCCCGTCCGCGAATGGGCTTCGGCGATCCCTTCCACGACGTCCTTCCCATGATTGGACGGAAAGAAATAACAAGTGCAAATAAAAACACGTGAGAACCACCACATGGCATGTTTTTTTTCTTTTTTCTTTTGACGAAGCGAACGCTTGTGCTTGTGTTGGCTGTGTTGCGGTGGGGGGGCGGGGGAAGGGAGATCGAAGCGAAAGAAGCCTGCTCTTCGTGTTCGTTGTGTACGTGTCGTTGTATTTGGTCGTGTCTCGGTGATACTGTTAGAGAGTCGTCGTATATCATGTCTGGGTGATGCGGAGTCGTGGTATGCCTCGAGAACCGCGGTAGGCAAGTGCCCACAAGCCGCATAGTAGAGCAGCGCGCGACCATAAGTTAAGCGAGGCGCGGGCGGGCGAGTGCCCGAAAGCCGCTTTTTTTTTGCAGTGCGCGACTACATGTTAAGAGAGGCGCGGGGGAACGAGTTTCCGGTGCGGATGAAACCTCTCGGCGGCGGGGGTTAGGCATGTGGCGATCCGTTGCCTTTTGTTCGTCTTCCTTCCCGGATTTTTTTGCTGGTTTGTCTTGTGGAGGATAGATTGTGTACGGCGGCGTGATCATAACGGGACGATGATTTGCGAGGCGAGGCGCTGTATGCCCCAAGTGTGTTTGTACTTCGTCGCCGCTGGTTTGTTCAAAGATCGGGGGGTTGGGGAGGGGGGGGAGGGGGCGGGGGCGACGGAAGGAAAATAGGGAGAAATATAGTTTGGCTACGGGGTTTCAGCAACGGTTACATCTATCTCCCCTTGGTCGGTGCGGTGTCTTGGCATTAGTTGTTCTCCTTGTGCGGTAACGCCGTGGGGCCCGGACACATGTGCGCCGCCGGAGCGGTACAGGAGTAGAAGGAGTCCGGTAGTCGGGTAGTGTTCGTTGGTCATCGTGTTGGGGGCCCGCCTCGCTTGTTTGCCTCCCTTGTTGAGGCTGAACCGTCGCCAATAGCCCCGCCTTGTCGGCCGAATCCGCCGCAATGGCGGGATTTTGTTGGTAGCAACGGCGTTTTGATTTCCGCAGCTTCTTGGGCGGTCCGCTGGCTTTCTTCTCCCAGCTCTCTTCGGCGTGACGGTAGAAGAGAGATAGCGACGAACGGAGTAAGTACCATTGGAGACACGATACACTACATAACAGACGAACGTTGTCGCGACAAGACAGCTCGAACCAAAGTTGCGTATTGGGGGGTTCGGCGTGACTTGACTGCTTGCGTGACCCGGGGCGGGGGGTGGTGTACTCATGGAACGGGATAACTGCCGATCTATAGTTTATGCTTTCCCCGGCACCTAGCGCCCGGTGGGTTTCTGTCTGTTCATATGTAGACTAAGAGCGAGAGGGTGTTTTTTCCGGGGGGGTTGCAACGGTTTTTCTACAAAGTGGTGCATATCTTTTGACTGTTTCCCTTGCGCGTGTGCGTGTCGTGTGTCCTGGTGGTAAGCGCCCGCCCGTCCGCAAGATGTTGATCGATGGATTGATTGATTTGTTGTCTTGTATTTGTGAATTATGTCTACTTGCTCGTTGCAGTTCTGCGTGGTCTCCATGCGCGGCACCCCGGAGGAGGGGAGGTAGAGCGGCGTGTTTTGTGTGTGTGTGTGTTGGAGAATTAACGCTTGCCTCCTGCATGTGCCGCCACCGCCGCCGCCGCCGCCGCCAGAGTCCGTTTTGGCTCTCGCTTGAAAGCTTCTCCGGAGAAGATCTGTCCCAAGCGCCGTTTGTTGTTCGGTGCGTGTTTCCTCATTTATTTGTGTATAGCTCGGCTACATAGCACGGCGCCTCCGCGAGGTTGGAAATGGTACCTAGGGTGGACTTTAAGTTTGTGTTGCGTAAGGCCAGGTCTATCTGTTCCGTGTGTGTGGCTGCCAGAAGTGGGTGCCACGTTTTATGTCTAGAAAGCCCTGTGCATTTTCATGGCCCTTAACCTCCGCGCTACAGCGGGGGAAGGATCGAGCCTAGCCCGCGGAATGTGCTTTGTGTCGTGGCATGAAGTCATGCGGAGTGCTGGGCTTAAAGCAGCTGCTTGAGCGTCAATTAGAGAACCACCACCATTGCAGCATCGGACGAGCCCGGCACGGACAGATTCGCATGGATGTGCTCGATGCATCGCAACATGAAAGGAATTCAATGCACCGGATGATCAGTATCGACCGCAAAAACCGACTTACCACAAAATCGAGATGCCAGCTTGATGCGGTGGCTAGCAATGGAAGAAACGCTGCTTCCCAAGATATGCGTGCGTTTGTCGTTAGCATCGACCGCTCCAACCAGACGACCAACGACCAACTCATCGTCAGTCTGACTACGCCGGCTGGAGCCTGAAAACGCTGGTGAACGCCGTGATCTGGGGCCCCGTGTGTGTTTCTTCATTAATTTCATTGACCGCGCTAGCCAGCTGACAAATGAACAGGCGTCTGTCTCACCCATTGTAGCTGTAAAACAGAAATTGTTTTCAGAGGCCACGATCGGGGACCCCGTGAGGTGGGAGGCTAGGCCCGCCGTGTCTGTGTGTGTATCGGGTGCACCACCATCCCCAGTACCTACTACGTCGCGTTTCCCTGGCGACACGAAGGCGTGTTCCGGAAGGTTCTTCAGCAAAGGCGAACTACAAGGCAATAGTTGAGACGTCTTTCCCATCAAGGGTAAGATGGGCGCGGTCATTTTCCCCTCGAATAATTGGAAACGAAGATGGATGATGGGTTCCCGCTTGTTTGCGTATGAAAAGGAAAACTAACTTTTGTGCTTGATGTCGTAGCCGGGGTGACAGGAGGAGGATCGCAAAAACAACTTTAATTTTTCTGTATGAAGTACCGACTACCTCTTGCTTTTCTCGCGAGAAGGGCTCGGGTCTCTTTCCCTGTCGTCGACCGCGAAGTCGAAGTGTTTTTCACGAACAAACGGTTCTCCAGGTCCACCACATCCAATTGCAAAGTTTTTTCGCTCCAGCGAGATACTCGAAGTCCAACGTGATGGTACCAATAAATCGAGGGCGTGCCCGAACATTGGTGAAGATAGAAGGACAAACAGTAATTATTAGGATATATAATTACACACTGCAGCAGCCGAGGTCAAACGATTAGACAAAATAGTCAGCATTGTCCAGCCTGGGTCTCGAACGCCACGACACATTGTTAGTCTAGACTAAAGTCAGCTCTGACTAGTCTTCTAATAATGGTTTGATTTCGACTTCTATACACAGAAAGACGACCGGTTCGAGATATAGTCTACTCACAGTTGAACGGGATGTGGTGGAGTCTTTTCAGTGAGTGGAGGAAAACCGGCTGGCTGGGTGCTGTACCTATTTCGAGTCTTTTTTAGTGTCGCGGCTGTGCACACACTGCAATACATTTGCGCGCCCGAATCTTGGTACGAGTATTAAAGGGTAAATAGAATCTAGAGAAGAATTATCGGGTAAAGAAATCTAGATAAGAATTCAGCTATGCACCAACCACTTCTGCTGTACACCGTTTTCCGTTTTCCGTTTTCCCTGTTTCGCTATGTTCAGTTTTCGGTGGCGGGAGGAACCTGCTGTCCCCTGTCCCCTGTCCCCTCCTACCTACCCCCCCCCGGCCCAGTAGCCTTTAGACGCAGCCACGACAGTGGTTGCCTCGTCCCCCGCCCCACCCCCTCCGTAGCCGTCTCCCTGCAGTTGTGCTTCGTGCTGGGTCAGTCTCGAGTCCGAGTGGTACTCGGTCGACTGGCCGAAGCTGAAGGCCGAAAAGCCCGCAGTCTCCCCGCATCCGTCCCAGGATTCGCCCTCCGAACCGTCGGTGGTTCCGCCGCCTCTGCCGCCTGCAATGTTTGCATGTGTTTTTCTTTGATGTTGTGATTTTGCCCTGTGTTTTTCATCAACATGATGTTGTGGGTTCGGCAGCGACTATTGTATCAACGCGTTGACAAAAATGGGCCCAACGTCGTCTGATTGGGCAAGTTGTTTTTATGGTTCTACATATTTAGAGCAGGCAGCCTCTCTCGTCTCGACATGCTTTCTCCCAATTCCCTCCGAGGGTTTCGAGATGCGTTGTCATTGTCGACTACGTGTGTATCCGTTGGAGCGCGGATTGGACCCTTGGAGCTGTTGTTGACTGACTCATACGAACAAAAAAACTGTTATCACCTCTCTGCAGCAGCCCGTCCCCCCCGTCGTTGTGGCACCAGTACCACGCAAGCACGTCGTGCTTTGCCCAAGATCTCCCGGTGCCCGCGGTGAAACCGACGTAGGCCTGACCACCAGACACGACGACCACATACAGTATTGAACCATGCGTTGATCAAGATAAAAACGTCTGGTGCAAAAATTACATATCTCCGTCGACTACCCCCCCCCCCCCCCCCCC